CACATGAGCCTGCCACCCCTCACCCCCCCCACCAACACCCATGAACCCCCTCCCCCCACCAACTTACCTTGGACAGTGCCGGGGGCAGCAGGAACACAAAAGACATGCTCTGGCCAAGACAAGAACATCTTTTTTGGAGGACTGGCTCCAGGTAGTCTTGAACTGTGCCTTGCTCCGCTCTATTGTGGAGCGGTTTTTTCAGACCCCTGGATATCCAGGGGTCTAATTTTCTTCCCAAGCTGCAAACTTGCAGTTGGGGGGGAACATTTTTTCATTCCCGCACATGCCTGTTGCACCACCTCAAAGGGGTTTGAGGCAGGGCAACAGGCACGTCCACGCTCATCTGGACATGCCCACTAGGTGTAACCCAGCCAGTTGTGGGAGCTGGGGTTATTAAGGTGTCCTGACCCACCTTTCACAGGGGTGGTAACTGGCCTGGTATTTCCTGGGGGCTCCCACACCACTGGGAGTCCCACCAGGCCACCCACTCCCAGCAGGGTGCAGTTTTAGGTCATGCCTAGGACCAGGAGCCTCCAAATCATCCCCTACAACTCCTACCCTTACCTCCAGGGATGTTGCATGCAGCCAAGCAAAGTTGCTACCTACCTGCTAACAGCAAAATGCTGTTTATATAGGCGGCCAGAGATTTAAAATGGCCACCACAATCAAGCACCTGCTGGCTGCTTGGCTGAGCCCTTAAAGTGGCAGGCACCAACAGTGCCCTGCCACACACCCCCAGATATGTGCACCCACAGAAGGCACAGGGCTGCAGCCTGGCTGAACTGGCATGGGCAGGACCCAGTGCAGGAGGGCAGAGTGGGGTGGTGAGACTCGTTGCTGCTACTGCTATTGCTGAGACCCCCATGCCAGCCACACTGTCAGCAATATGAGGAGTAACAGATGGGAGGGTGGGTTTCCTCACTGCCCTCACTTCCTCCTGCTAGCAGCCGCTCATACGCCAGGCCATGGCTCTACCCCACCACCATGGCCTGGCCATTGCCGCTGCTCCACCTGTTCAGTTGGGCTGGCTGGGTTGGGGACTGGAGGACCTGGACACTGCATCCTTTTATAGGATATCAGATCTCTTCCAGTAATTTTTCATAAGGGGGCTTCTGCTGCTTCACAACCCCTCATCCTTCCAACTGGAGCAAAGATTTGGCCTTACAAACTCCCGTCTGTCCCTGAGCCATGAGCATGAGTTGCCCCAAGAGAGGCCGAACTACTGGGCCCCGAAGTCTTCCATCCCTTCTCTCTGCCTGAGCAACGCTGACTATTTCGCAACAAGCACTAGGGCTACTGCCATGCAGAGTCATTTCCCAGCCTGATACCCCCACTAACAGCCTCCTCTTTAATTCTGCCTCTTTTATTCTTAACTCGCCCTTTTGAGAAATGAAGATTAGTTGATTTGAGTCTTAATAATCCCATTTACTTCCATTTATACTACAGACCTTGCTTTGAGCTGAGCACAAAAAGAGTTTTTCCTATAACAGTAGCAGAGAAGCCTCATAAATCTGCTCTCGAGTTTCAATGAGCAGAGATCATTGTGGCTGAAGCATGGGAGCCTTGAAAGCCAGGCTAGTAGAGTATAAGCACAAAATGAGATCTTAGAAGCACCTCTGGCACCTGTGTTTGCTGATCAAGTTCTTTAGGAAAAAACCCAGCTAGAGATGGAAAGAGATTTGGCACCCAGAACAAGGTTAACAAGCATCAGTTTCTCCAAGGCTTTCCCTGCCTCTGAAGCATCACATGCAGCACAAAAACTGCTGGAAGCAGAATGCAAGGCTAACTAGATCGAAGCATTCATCCAGGGACCTGGAAGATTATATGGTTTGAGGCTCGGGCATGGATTTGTGCCAGCAAGGAACTGCTCAGTCATGCGACTACAGATACTTAAGGGCTGACATCTTGCAGCCATCCCTTGAGAGAAAGGAGTGTGTTATCTCAATGGAGTCAGAACTCTTGGTAGAGATGATATCTTATATTAGACCAACTAAATAGTTGCAAAAAAAATCTTTATTTGCAAGCTTTCAGGATTACATGCCCTTCCTCAGGCGAAGGAGAATGCACAGATTGTAACATTTCTTCCAGGTAGAAATGAAACTTCATATTACACAGGAGAATAGAGAGATGTTATAGGTCGCCTGGGTGGAAAAGTTCATTTTATTCAAATTATCTAAATGAAAAGCTCTGAGATACTGTGTATCCCGGCTTTCTAATGGCATGATGTGTAAGGGCTCAGTCGTACCTGGCAGTTCTTGGCTGAGTGGAGGGAGACGAGCACAACCCCTGTCACCTCAATTCTGGGGCCGCTCTAAATGGGGTTAGCTTGCAGTTTATTATTTGTAGTTATCCCATTGGCCCAGAATTACCAGAGGGCAACGTAACGTTTGCACTACAAGCGGGAACGGGAAAAGGGGGGTACAGAGCCAGTTTACCTAGCCTGATGCTAGCTGAAGGTTTCCCCCTTTGAGGGGACAAAGGAGATTTGGTGGAGCATAATCTGCCCCTTCAATCTGTTTCAGTTGGTTTGCAACACCTGCTAAAGTCGTGTCAGAAATGCACTGAGGAGATGGTGGTTAAAATGATGCGATCCTAAAGCCTTGATGTCTCATAGCCTGGCTACAATTTTAGCACAG